TTGCTTTATTTGTGTATGTTCTGTTAGTTTGGCCTATTGGAATCCTAAATACTTGTATAACTCGCCCTCTTCCATGGATTCAATAATGTCTCCATTTCCAAGTGCAAAATATTCTTTCTTCAGGACTCCTTTTTCTATGTGATTATTATTATTATTAATATATATGTTACCGTGAAAGATCGAAATTAGAGAATGTCGATATTCTCCGGTGAATGTCGACACATACAAAATATGTCGGTGAAAGTCCGAATATTTGGTTATATTATTATACATTTGAACAATCGCCAGTGTATGTCGACAAGCACAGATAAGCTTTGGTGGAGGTCGAAACGACACCCGAGAAGCCGATGTCGACAGAGAGGCGACAGTCTGTCGCCAAATACTTTGTGGATAGCCGGAGGTAGGACACGGTTGTATCTCTTTTTCCGGCCACGGTTTGGTGGAAACTTCCCACTTTGTCACTGGATGGCGTTTTTGTCCTTTTGATCCCGTGAGGTGGGGATCGGTTTGTCAGGTCGAGTGGCGGAGGATGAGAAGGGTCGTCGGTAAGACGTTGGCGATATCTGAATAAAAGACACCATTAACAGATCAGTTCGTAATCACGTAACAACATAATCAGTTCGTAATTTGTAAAGAAAAGTTATTTTCCATAGATGAGATTTCTTTTCAAGAAGTATCGCTGAGAGAAGCAGCTGCAACTAATTCGAAAAGTGGAGGGCAAGGCTATACACGCTGTCATTGCAAAAAGAAGTGTTCCACGAATAAGTATAGTTGTAAAAGAAAAAGACTCTTGTGCAATTCAAAGTGCCATAACAAGTTAAGTTGTTGAAATAAATAACATTATATAACGTTAATCACATAATTTATGTGTAAGTTTATTATTGTATTGTTTTCTTTAATGATTAAGAATGTACTGTTCATTTGAGGTTCAACAGTTTATTTACATGTGCTGTTACTTAAGCTTTCTCCTATTTTCACATATTAAAATGTTGCATTTTTGTCTTAACGTAATAAAAATATTTTTATTCAACATTCACCGTCAGTGCATGCTGAATGTCGACATTTGCCGGTGTAAGTGAGAAATAATGATATTTAGCAAATATTTCGTACATACACGAAACGACTGTGTGAATGCTGACATTCGCCAGATATCGATCATTCACAGTAACAGATACATTATATATTAAATAATCATTAATTGTAAGAAAATTAAAACAGAGATAAATCCAAAAGCAAGCACTAAAAGTTAAAATTATATTTATTAAAAATAGTAATATAAAAACTTATTGAAAAAATTATGATTCTCAACTTCTAAAAAATTATAAATGATGATGATGATTTCAGATAACTACAGCCATTTAAACAAAAATAAGTTATATGAGGGTTCATCTGGAAAATAAAATTTTTCTTGAACAATGAACTTTACAAATCTTCTCTAAAATAACATGTTCCATATATACCAAAACTTTAGAAGCTTTTGCACTTCACAAATTAATAAGTTACCAATACAATACTTAAAACATCTAACATATTTAAAATAATTTCTTACCAGTGTTGGGCGTTGTAATTGCTTCATTAACTTTTGATGCTTTCGTCTTCCAGCCCATGTCCTAAACAAATAATTTAATAACTTATGTAATAATATAAAATGCTCAAAAATTAATGTATTAATATTTCAATAAACAATAAATCAAAATAATTATCTGTTTAGTGCAATTAATTTCCCATAAAAAGTTCTTATCATTTTAATTATATTATCTTCTATCAATATATCAAAATATTATTTTTGTTAATTTAAAGATTTAAGTATAAAAATATTTTATTAATAATCATAAATAAGCAAAATAAATATACATCATATATATAAACTAATCGGTCTGTGGTGCAATCATGCCATTAATATACACAAGATTTGATCTGTATTAAATTCCTTTTAAGTTACAATATGAATTGTATTTGTTTTTGTTAACAGTTGAATATTTCAGAATCAGTAAGAGTTGATAAAACAACCAATTATTTTAAATCAAAACTGATAAATCTAGAGAAATGATTGTAAATCTTCCAAACTTTGACAATTTCATTATCTGGATATAACAGGAATACTTATATAACGAACGAACTGGATAAATATATTAGTAATAAAACACACCTTTAATAATCCAGCTAATAAAAATTAATAATATAATAACGTTTTCGATTGTTTCTTAACGATCTTCTTCAGTTACCATAGCATAGAATAAAATCAAACACATATAACAGGAATAATTTTTCAGTTTAATAAATAATACTTTCCACATCAAATTTCTTAAGAAAATAAATTTTAAAATGTAAAATAGAATCACACTGTAATGGCACCAGATATGTCATCATCATAATCATCTGAACTAGGAAACATTTTTATCTCAAACAATTAAACAAAAAAGGAATAAGAAAAGTATATTTACATCGCCAATTTCCTCATCCATATCACTTTCATATATAATTTTTTCAATAGCTTCATCATTTTCATATATTCAACAACTCATGTTGGAATTAATATTAAATATATAATATAATAACGATAAAACGTAAAAGCACAGAGAATCACCACACAACAGAATATCTGGCTCACTAAGAAACAAAGACCTACAGTTGAACACAACACCTGATACTCTCTAAAGTCAATAAAATTGTAAATAAATTCTTGACATATAGTAGATACATGAAATAGTTTGCTACTTCTAGGAGTTACTAATAAATAATTTATTTCATACTAGCTGTACCCGACCACACATTGCTGTGGCTCAAAATGTATCTATTATAAATGTACAGGGTGTTTCACAATGTTTTGACATTTTCAAAGTTGAATAACTCACAAACTAATCGTTAAAAAAAAGTTGAAAATTTTAAATTTATTCAATTTTATTTATGAAATACTACATCAGACAAATGATGACCATTTGCGGCTACATAAGACTTGAGGTGTTTCACTCAGTTTTTGAACACATTTTTCATAACTGCTGGAGGAATTCTGGAAATTTCATCTCAAATTCAATCTCTTAATTGTTCCAAGCTTCTTGGCCAGTTGGAGTACACTCTCACCTTCAAATAACCCCGTAGGTAAAAGTCTGGTGGGGTTAAATCAGGTGAATGAGGTAGCCATTCTGCTATGCACATGTTCAATGTTCTCAGGAGTTTATACGATCTTCCTATGGCTGGTTGACTTTCAATTCGATGCACTGGCAGTTTCACGGAAGATTTTTACCCAATTCAATATTGTTCCATGAACAGGAATTGGATATCGCGGCTGAATCTTAAAATGTTTACAAAACTCACATTGCACATGCATGACAGATTTGCAGATGCGAAAATAGCACTCTACCACGAATGCATAATGTTGCTTTGACCAGTATGTCATGATACTACGGAGTAACCTATATGAGATGAAAGTTGACAGTCCACACTACTAATAGAGGATGCCACCATCACTGTATCTTGGTTTTAACACGAGTTATTCAACTTTGAAATCATCAAAACATTGTGAAGCACCCTGTATAACACTCCCCGCGGGAGAATTTCGAAAAATTCCTTCTTAGTGTACATTCTCTTGACGTACTCTATTAAAATGCAATCAAAAACACAAAAAACTGCATCTAAAATAGTATAATAGAAGCCAAGTTCTTTGTAGTAAGCCTTAATTTAGTCCCTCTCCCCCACGGGGGGAATTTCGACATGTATATAGTATAAAAACATGCGCTTATTCAAATACAATGTTGTGTCAAAATTTCAAAGCAATTGGTTAAAAACTTTTGGAGATTAAGATTTTGAACAAACGAACATTTACATTTTTATTTACATAGATATAAAGCAAATAAGCATTTCTCACTATACACAAGAGATAACATATTTAAAATCATGTTAATTTAAAAAAATTGACAAAAATAGCACAAAACTTCACAAATGGCAAACCACCCAATAATATATTTGAACACTTCCACAACTGGGGAGAAACTAAACCTTATGTCCCCACTAAAGTATATCCTTAGGGTAAAAACTATTTAGTCTACAAATATGTAGTAAAAACAAAAATTTTAATGCTTAAAGTTAAGATGCAGAGATTACTCTTTTTTATCAGTTAAACATATAATTAATATTCCTTATTTAAATTTTCTTATTATATTCAAAATATGAACATTATGTTCTAATTAAACAAACATATGTAATTTAAAAGTTTAATAATTCATGTAAAAATTAAATAAGTAACTTACTTGAATCTCCTTACTGTAATTGTTTGAAATTCAAATAGATTTTCACAATATTTACGTACACTCAAATAATCTGAAAGAAAAAGTTTATAATTTAAAACTTAATTAAAATTTAATTTAATATACACAAAAATTAAAATAGTGTTTATTTATTCATTAATATTATCTGTATTAGTTAGTTTTAAAGTTATTAACACCAAAAGATTGAGTTTATTGTTACCTCATTATTATTGCAGTGTATGCTATCATAATTTCATACCTTGTATAATTAGTATAAATGTCAATATAATTAGCAATTTATAATTTTCTCTGTATCAAGATAATCATAATATAGCTCAAAAACCACAAGCAGTTCAAAAAAATTATATGAATTATACAAGAATGTATAAGTTTGAATTAATTCAATAGACCTGTAGATGATATATAAACTATAATTAATCTATATAATAATTTTAATTATTAAAAGAGATTTGTAATACTGAATATAAATTAAATATTTCACTATTTTAAAATATCATTAAAATATATTTATAATTACTGTAGAAGTTCATTAATTTAGTACAGTAATACCTCGACTTACGCTACCCCGACTTACACGAACCCGGATTTACGCGATTTTCAAATCTCGTCAACTCGTCTTTTGTTTGAGTGCCACGCAACTCTTGATTACTCACTCCCCCAAACCATTGTTCAGCTTACATGTTCGGACATGTCGTGCGGAATCGACACATGCTACAATTTATTTTGTATTATTTTTTTCTGTGTTTGTTATATCTACAGAGACTTGAGAGACAATATGTGGTGATTTCTTATAACCGTAAATGAATCAAAAGACAAGATTAACAAGAACATTTATTAGCTTACATGCATCCGATTTGGGTTTTACACAAATTGCGAAATTATACCCCAACTTACGTAAATTCGACTTACAGGGTTATTGCTCGGTCCCACCTATCACGTAAGTTCGGGGTATTACTGTACCTACAAGACCAGAGCATTGTTGGATTATCAATAATGCCAGATTACCATACATTTTTGTATTTTCACAAAATCTGATAAGTTATGTGAAATCTGAACATTATATCAGTGCATATGGGTGACTGCTAGTCCACATGTTTACACAATGGAGTCAGTTCATTCACCATGAGTGAGTTTGGTGTATCTTCACTAATTTCTCATTGTGGGGCATTTTTTTTCTCTGACGTGTTTTGTCCAAAATTAGCTTTTAAGACTACCACAGTACATGTGCAGCATTATTTGGCATTATTGTGTGAAGACATGTCCTTTTTGTGTGAAAGGAAGGTACTGCCTACAGTCACATTTATACGGGATGGTGCATCATCTCGTATCACTTTTCTAGTAAGAAATATTTTTGATTGAAATTTTGATGAAGACAGACTTATCACTAGGCATTGCAAAATCCAAGACAGCAGTTTATTTCTAATTATGGGGATATTTAAAGTCTAGAATGTATTGATTAGGCCCTTCCATATTGTTGGAATTGAAAGATGACATTTGGCATGAAAAGAGTTTCATCCATCTGGACATGCTGCACTTTGCAATCACAGTTATTGTCACTTGTATCATAACTTGTGGGGGAGAGCATGCTGTCAGAATTGCTGTTACAATAAACAAATTGAATTTTATTGTCTTAAGAATACCTTCAGTTCCATCTATCGGCAACTTTTCAAACTAAAAAATTTTCCATCTTGAGAATACTTATAGTGCAAACCACACTTCAATATGATGCCTTTTCATTATTTTTATAAATTTTTGAAGTTTTTACGGACTTTTGGCTAATCCTGTATACTTCAAGAAACCTTAAATATAAATAGGTTTTTTTTGAAGAATGTATCCATAACTGTTTTAAAAGCACTTATTAATGGCTTTTTATGAAGAATAAATAAATTAGATAAATTAATGATAAACATTTTAATTATTTTTAGAGGTCACAGAACATATGGGAAATTCTCCTTTTCTTGCACTTGGTTCTTCAGAATGCATAATGCATATGGGTGTCCATGAAGGAGAGCAAACAGAATACTTGCCCTCCCCTAGGATCGAATGAAATATTTCACAAATGATAACTGTAAAAATGAGATATGTAGCCTTCCATCCCTGTATTTTCATATTGATGCAATACTGTATTCTATAATCTACTTGTAAAGATAATGCAAAAAAAACTAAAAATTTATTGATGTAATTATTTGTCTCCAAGTTTTGTCCCCAGAAAATTTTTCTGCAAATGCCCTTAACAACATATATACCACAAAAAAGTAAAATAATTAATAATACTGTAATAATAATTACATTTTTATTAGAATATTCCTTTTTNACATAAAACTTATGCATCCACAGAAAAACAACTTCATCAACTCCTACAAATCACACATTCATACACTAATGACATACAAATGGAGTTTGTCTTAGACAAATGCAAAACACTTCACATAGAAAAAGGAATCCTGAAGAAAGAAGGTTTTGCACTTGGAAATGGAGACGTTATTGAATCCATGGAAGAGGGTGAATTCTACAAGTATTTAGGATTCCAAAAGGCAAACTAACAGAACATACACAAATAAAGCAAAGATTAATTAAAGAATACCAAAGTAGATTAAATGCTATCCTCAGAACACAGTTAAAGCAACAAACACATATGTCATCCCAGTAGTCACATACTCTTTTGGAGTTATACATTGGACTCACACAGATCTTGAGCAACTCCAAAGGAAAACAAGAACAACACTTACTAAGCATAAACAACATCATCCTAAATCTACCATAGAAAGATTAACCCTTCCATGTAAAGATGGCGGACGTGGCCTGATTGACATTATAAACCTTCACTACAAACACAGTCACTGCAAGAGTTTTTTTTTACAAGAAACGAGAAACATCACAATTACATAAAGCAGTAACTCTAGCAGACTCGAATAACTCATCATTAAACTTACACTCACATCATACAGACATGACACAACATATAAAAAGCATAGACACCATCAAGCAATCGTGGGCTCAAAAGACACTCCATGGCAGGCATCCTTATGACCTGGCCCAGGATTTTGTTGACAAAACTGCATCAAACAGCTGGTTAGATCGGGGATGCCTCTTTGGGGAGACGGAAGGATTCATGATTGCCATACANATATAATAATTTTAATTATTAAAAGAGATTTGTAATACTGAATATAAATTAAATATTTCACTATTTTAAAATATCATTAAAATATATTTATAATTACTGTAGAAGTTCATTAATTTAGTACAGTAATACCTCGACTTACGCTACCCCGACTTACACGAACCCGGATTTACGCGATTTTCAAATCTCGTCAACTCGTCTTTTGTTTGAGTGCCACGCAACTCTTGATTACTCACTCCCCCAAACCATTGTTCAGCTTACATGTTCGGACATGTCGTGCGGAATCGACACATGCTACAATTTATTTTGTATTATTTTTTTCTGTGTTTGTTATATCTACAGAGACTTGAGAGACAATATGTGGTGATTTCTTATAACCGTAAATGAATCAAAAGACAAGATTAACAAGAACATTTATTAGCTTACATGCATCCGATTTGGGTTTTACACAAATTGCGAAATTATACCCCAACTTACGTAAATTCGACTTACAGGGTTATTGCTCGGTCCCACCTATCACGTAAGTTCGGGGTATTACTGTACCTACAAGACCAGAGCATTGTTGGATTATCAATAATGCCAGATTACCATACATTTTTGTATTTTCACAAAATCTGATAAGTTATGTGAAATCTGAACATTATATCAGTGCATATGGGTGACTGCTAGTCCACATGTTTACACAATGGAGTCAGTTCATTCACCATGAGTGAGTTTGGTGTATCTTCACTAATTTCTCATTGTGGGGCATTTTTTTTCTCTGACGTGTTTTGTCCAAAATTAGCTTTTAAGACTACCACAGTACATGTGCAGCATTATTTGGCATTATTGTGTGAAGACATGTCCTTTTTGTGTGAAAGGAAGGTACTGCCTACAGTCACATTTATACGGGATGGTGCATCATCTCGTATCACTTTTCTAGTAAGAAATATTTTTGATTGAAATTTTGATGAAGACAGACTTATCACTAGGCATTGCAAAATCCAAGACAGCAGTTTATTTCTAATTATGGGGATATTTAAAGTCTAGAATGTATTGATTAGGCCCTTCCATATTGTTGGAATTGAAAGATGACATTTGGCATGAAAAGAGTTTCATCCATCTGGACATGCTGCACTTTGCAATCACAGTTATTGTCACTTGTATCATAACTTGTGGGGGAGAGCATGCTGTCAGAATTGCTGTTACAATAAACAAATTGAATTTTATTGTCTTAAGAATACCTTCAGTTCCATCTATCGGCAACTTTTCAAACTAAAAAATTTTCCATCTTGAGAATACTTATAGTGCAAACCACACTTCAATATGATGCCTTTTCATTATTTTTATAAATTTTTGAAGTTTTTACGGACTTTTGGCTAATCCTGTATACTTCAAGAAACCTTAAATATAAATAGGTTTTTTTTGAAGAATGTATCCATAACTGTTTTAAAAGCACTTATTAATGGCTTTTTATGAAGAATAAATAAATTAGATAAATTAATGATAAACATTTTAATTATTTTTAGAGGTCACAGAACATATGGGAAATTCTCCTTTTCTTGCACTTGGTTCTTCAGAATGCATAATGCATATGGGTGTCCATGAAGGAGAGCAAACAGAATACTTGCCCTCCCCTAGGATCGAATGAAATATTTCACAAATGATAACTGTAAAAATGAAATATGTAGCCTTCCATCCCTGTATTTTCATATTGATGCAATACTGTATTCTATAATCTACTTGTAAAGATAATGCAAAAAAAACTAAAAATTTATTGATGTAATTATTTGTCTCCAAGTTTTGTCCCCAGAAAATTTTTCTGCAAATGCCCTTAACAACATATATACCACAAAAAAGTAAAATAATTAATAATACTGTAATAATAATTACATTTTTATTAGAATATTCCTTTTTTTTAGTTTGTATCTTAAGATAATAAATTTATTTAACTAAGAAAAAATTATTTAAGAACATTATTATTTTATTAAAGCAAATACAAACTATAATACAAAAATTAATTAATAAAAATTCATTTTTATTAAATAAATCAATTCATACAGCAAAATTAGAATAATCATTCATTTTTCCAATAAAGTTTATGATATTCAAAAAATATATTGTAATATGTTTAAATGTAAAACTTTAACAATATAGCAAAAATATTCAGTAATTTGAACACAAATCATTTATTGTCTTCATTCAGACACTTGGCAAATCTCATCATTAAATTTTATTTAGTTGATATGTGTTCATTGGATTTGTACACATTTCGGGCATTCCAAAACGTGTACAAATCTGAATTACTAAACATTTACTGGCACGGTTTCAAAAATACCAAGATAGCAAAAATATTCTCTTACCAAGTGATCTTTCTTTTTTATTATCTTGAACTGTTTCAACTTTAGCAGCAGGAATGCTTGAAACATCTAAATAAATATAGTTCCTTAATATATTCAGATAGAAATTAATAATTTCATTATTATCTAAATTTAATTCAAATTAGGCTGCATAAAATTATTTTACAGTAAGTTGAAAAAAAATCTACAATAATCAAATTTTATATCTATAAAATTTTGATTATTTACATAGTGTGAGATCATTATTCTTACATAATATTTGCAAAAAAATTAGTTATTATTAAAAAATTTAATCTAAATAAATATAGTAAACTCATTATAATTTATCTGATATCTGTCATTCTTAAGTATATTAAACAACCCTAAGCCCAATATAAGTTATATATAAATACATAGACAAACAATATCCTTAAATACTCTGGCTCTAAATCCATTATTTTTAATAATTAATACTAAGTAATTTGCTACTAGAGGTAGATATTATGCACCATCTCTAATCTTAATTAATAATAATAATAATAATTTAAATAATTTATTAATCAATGCTTTCATTGCAGTATCTGATCAATAAAATCATTGAAAACTAAAATATTGCCATTATTCAGATATGCATTTACATATCTTTTATGAAGATTCAATCCAAGTGGCAAAATATGTAGGATGCACAATGAGAATGGAATTAATCTCATTAACTCAAAACTGTTTAACATGTTGACATTTTTTCACTTGTTGATCCCCTAAACTTCAATTTAGCAAAGATTTACTGGATATATGTTGTAGATTAACACAACATAATATGAAAAAAATTCTTTATCAGGAAATCAAACAATTCTTAATCAAAAATCTATCATCAAAAATAAAATAACATTGTTAACTATATCTTTCTTGAAAAGTTAGCATTCTAATACAGATATGAATATAATTCAAAATCAATTATAAGCAACAGAAATAAATTTAAAAATATTCACAAATGCTATAAATCAGATAAATAATTACCTAGCATTTTAATAATTCTTCCAGCAAATATTTCTTAAAAAAACAAACATTTTCAGCCTCTCTGTTCATATTCTTTTTTTGCTCTTAGATCTATAAAGGGTCAATGAAGAGGCCAAAAATGTTCGCTTTTTAAGAAATAATTACTGGAAAAAGTGTTAAAGTGCTAGGTAATTGTTAATTAAAAGATAATCACTAAATACATAAAGCATTAAATAAAATGTTCTATATAGTTATTACATATTTTTATGTTTATTAAATAAAATAAGCAACATGTTGATTTTAAAAAATCCTCAAAAATTCAATTTATTTAATTTTTTGTAATCTTTGTAAAGTGTTTTTATTAATTATTTATTTTTAATTAATTTTACAATAAAGCCTTATTTACATAAAGACTAGAAATGACCATCAATAAATAAAAATGAACAAATAAACCCCGGATAAAATACTTTCATTTTTCAGTTAATAAAATTATCGTTTTTTTTACTAAGTACTAGTATTAGTTATATACAATTCTTCAATAACTTTATCTTTGTCATTCAAAGTAATCCTTATATCTTGATAAAGTTGGGTAGTAGTTAACTACTGCCCATATTTACATCATGAACATATCTATCATCTTTCCTTTAATAATGCTTTATCTTTCNTATAAGTTATATATAAATACATAGACAAACAATATCCTTAAATACTCTGGCTCTAAATCCATTATTTTTAATAATTAATACTAAGTAATTTGCTACTAGAGGTAGATATTATGCACCATCTCTAATCTTAATTAATAATAATAATAATAATTTAAATAATTTATTAATCAATGCTTTCATTGCAGTATCTGATCAATAAAATCATTGAAAACTAAAATATTGCCATTATTCAGATATGCATTTACATATCTTTTATGAAGATTCAATCCAAGTGGCAAAATATGTAGGATGCACAATGAGAATGGAATTAATCTCATTAACTCAAAACTGTTTAACATGTTGACATTTTTTCACTTGTTGATCCCCTAAACTTCAATTTAGCAAAGATTTACTGGATATATGTTGTAGATTAACACAACATAATATGAAAAATTCTTTATCAGGAAATCAAACAATTCTTAATCAAAAATCTATCATCAAAAATAAAATAACATTGTTAACTATATCTTTCTTGAAAAGTTAGCATTCTAATACAGATATGAATATAATTCAAAATCAATTATAAGCAACAGAAATAAATTTAAAAATATTCACAAATGCTATAAATCAGATAAATAATTACCTAGCATTTTAATAATTCTTCCAGCAAATATTTCTTAAAAAAACAAACATTTTCAGCCTCTCTGTTCATATTCTTTTTTTGCTCTTAGATCTATAAAGGGTCAATGAAGAGGCCAAAAATGTTCGCTTTTTAAGAAATAATTACTGGAAAAAGTGTTAAAGTGCTAGGTAATTGTTAATTAAAAGATAATCACTAAATACATAAAGCATTAAATAAAATGTTCTATATAGTTATTACATATTTTTATGTTTATTAAATAAAATAAGCAACATGTTGATTTTAAAAAATCCTCAAAAATTCAATTTATTTAATTTTTTGTAATCTTTGTAAAGTGTTTTTATTAATTATTTATTTTTAATTAATTTTACAATAAAGCCTTATTTACATAAAGACTAGAAATGACCATCAATAAATAAAAATGAACAAATAAACCCCGGATAAAATACTTTCATTTTTCAGTTAATAAAATTATCGTTTTTTTTACTAAGTACTAGTATTAGTTATATACAATTCTTCAATAACTTTATCTTTGTCATTCAAAGTAATCCTTATATCTTGATAAAGTTGGGTAGTAGTTAACTACTGCCCATATTTACATCATGAACATATCTATCATCTTTCCTTTAATAATGCTTTATCTTTCATATATTTCTAATTCTAATATATGCTAAAAATTAATTGAATAATGTTTTTCTGTACATTATTTAATATTAAATACTAATAAGAAAATGGTAAGAATTGTGAACAAAAATAATAAATCTTTTATAAAATTTACCTTTTTCATTTTCCACTTCTTCATTTTTGAGAGAATTTGATTCATTTTCCCTTTCAATATTTTTTCTATAATAAAGGCAAGGAATTGCTGATATAGGAATTTCATGTTTCTGAAAAAAGAATATTTTTATAAAAGATTTATAAATATATTTATATAAATTAAATATTTAATTACATGTTGCATTTAATAAAATAACAACATTAGCATATTTAATTATTTGTTTATTTAGAAAAGTCTTCAATAAATATTTTTAAATAAAGTTTATTTCTGTCTGTAATCAATAATTCCTTCTTTACATTTTCCAGCAACAATCTTTAATAAATAACAAATGCTTTTAGTCACATTTAGGAGTCTGCTTCAGACTTTAGACTATTCCAAATCAAATGGTTTACCAAACATTCCAAACTGGAACATTCTAACATTTACATGGACATTTTTTACATTTTTTTACATTGACATTTTTTTTACATTCTAACATTTACATTGACATTTTATGAAAATTATAACTTTGCAAACAAAAATAAACAAACATATATGTAGAATTATACATAAAAAATTTTGTAAAGTTATAATTTTCAAAAAATGAACCAAACAATTACTGTAATTAATTGAGTTAATTAAGTGCTATTATTAATGATTAACTAACTATTAAGTAATTTGTTACTAGAGATAAACATTAGGAACCATCTCTTATTAAATTTAATAATTATAATATGTACTAATTAATTTAGAATATTCTGGATTCTGAATATTCTGAAAACTGTCAATATAAACATTAGAATGCTCCAGTTTGGCATACTCAGTAAACCAGTCAATATGAAATATTGTAAAACTTAAAAGTAGGCACCTAAATGAGGCCAAAACATTTGTTATTTATTAAAGATTGTTGCTGGAAAGTGTAAGGAAGCTGTTGTGTTGATTACTATAAAGAAGGTTCCAGCTTATGATGATATATCATATATTTCTATCTGTTGGAATAATTTATAAATAGACTTACTATTTCTTTAAAGTTACAACTAGAGACAGATTGAGTATTTTAATCTTGTGAGAATAAGGCCGAGACTCCACTAGCATAAAAACCTTTGCTGTAAAAACTTTTTATCACGTGACCTATTTACATTTGCATCTGGATTGCGGTGGAAGTCAGGCTAGCGAAGTTTTTACGGTGACGGTACTATCAAAGTTACACTTGTATACGTGATATATCAATATAAAGACAATGATTATATTCTACCAATTTTTTATGTACTATATTTACAAATGTAGTAAAAATAATATCTTTACTTTCATATATTAACTTTTATTATCGTATTATTAAGATAATATACAGCACTTATAAGCTTAGCTTTTCTATTATATATTCCTGTAAATTGAAGGATTTTCCTTTGGCCGTCCATATCGCATGTTTTAGGCATCCATTATTATAATTGGAATACCTCTTGTCGTAGATACATTAATACTTTTGGACATTTTTGATAAATCTTTCCAGATCTATTCTAGAGTAACCACAAGAGAACATATACAAAAGCTTGTTTCTGCCATTTTTGCACAGTGTCACAATGGCCTAGATTTCAATGACTTCTGACTGGTGGATGGTACCGTTTTACGGCCATATTTGTGTCGAAACTCGAATACTGCTCAACTCACTTTTACGCTGGTTTTACCACCTGCTCAGGAGTAAAATATCATGGTCATGTGATTAAAAGCTTTTACAGCAAAGGGTTTTATACCCATTTTTTACATTAGTGGAATCTTGGCCTAATGCAGGGTACACATATTTAGATTGCTTAAAAGATGAGAAGTCTTGTTCACTAATTAGAGAAAATCTTGTAGCTGTATCTATTTTCCTAATAAATGAGTTTCTGTAATCTGTTAGTTCTTTTCCAGCACCCTGTCCTATCCTATACAGAAACTTCTTTTGATTATGGTAATAAATATGTTTTATAAGAATGATTTTTGTGATAAATTTTAATTTCTGTATAGTGTATATACTTAACTGCTGTGCAATGAGAATTTCATAAGTACATAGATGTAAATAGGGTTTTTGTATATAATGTATATAGATTTTATATTATTTTGACAAGATCAAAGCAAACTTTTTAANAAATAAATTGTGAAAATGTGAAATAATTAAAATGCTAAACTATAAAATATTTAATATAATACAGCATTAAAATTTATCTTGAATTTTTCAACACTGAATAATTCAATAAGAAATGTTATATAAATTGACTTTCTGATCAATCCAAGGTACAATAGATACCACTTACTGTAATCATTTTGGGACTTGTCTAACAAGTAAGCCGATAACAATAACTGATTGATAACTTAAAGCAAAATAATTAAATAATATATAATTAGAGAAAATTCTGGTTTCAGTGGTTAACATTAAAAGGAACAAAACTGATTAATCATATTAACATTTAAATTCATTTATACATCTGAAATGTTTCAAAAGTATGTCTAATAAAATAATTTAACATTTCTATAGATTTGTCTAATGAGTTGCTTAGAAAACAAGGATAAATATATCACTTAATATAAAAGATAGAATTTATTTATTTATACTTACTCTAGCACTTCCAGGACCTAAGAAATACGGTTTAGACATGGTACAAACACGACTTGATTTATGTAAATAAACAGGCATTCCGCTATGATGAGTCACTTCTATCCAACCTTCTGGTAATATATCAAAATGATCACAACCTTTTGCTATAAACCAAATAAAAACTTAATTAAATATTTATGAATACATAAAAAATAAAGTTTTAGAATTTTTTCTCTTTAAATTGTTATTATTTTACATAAATTTATTATAATTAAAATTTTTATCATAAATAAGTATTTTAGAGTTCAAAAATTTCTAGAAGATAAAAAATTTAGATTTCATTATTTTTTTAAAATATATTTTCAATAATAATTATAAATATACATTTCAAAACAAAAATTTATCATTTGTTATTAGCAAATAATTAAAATAAATGATGTAAGAAAAGATTTTGACAAATTTTGAAAATGATTCTAATTAAAACAATCATAAAACAATTTAATATTGAGACTGTTAAATGTTTTCCAAATTACATCTTCTAAAACTATAAAATCAAATATATAAAGATTTTTACATTGTATATTATTAATATTAAAGCTGTTGAAAATAGAACTAATAAAATTCTGAAAATTTTAGAGATTATTCTAATTTTAATTCCTTAAATCTGATAACTAAATTGTTAAAACGATTTAGTTATTAGAATTATATAAATATATAATTCTAATAACTAAATCGTTTTAACAATTTAGTTAAACACAGAATTTATACATTATTATATTTGTACAGATTATTAATGAGAATTCTTACTATATTGTAAAATGATAAGTTTGAGAGGAGTTTGGGAAAAAACACAGGTAATGTCAAGGAGTTGGAATAATTCAAAAATTACATCATCAGCAACAGCAAGCAAACTTAGTTCAACTTTATGCTTTGTATTTCATTTACTTCACACTACTCTGTTAAGAAGTCAATGTTTTACCACATAGACACTGGTGACACCTTTCACATATTTTCTGATAGAATGAAAAAGCATAAGGAGGTACTGACCAAGAGAAAGAGTGACTTAGCACTGGCATAACTTATATTACAAAATAAATGTGTGCCAGGGATGGAGAGTTGGCAGAAAAAATACAACTCCCGAGTTGATATTTTTTAAAATAGACTCCAACTCCCATAAAAAGATTTGACTCCTTACTCTGACTCTCCATCTCTGGTGGTGCATATGTGAGAAAAGGTTCAAATAGTTCACCCTCAGTTGAGAAATGTCCCCTCCACACCACAGAAGCTCTTATAATAGCAACCACTAAACAATCTTGTAAACCAGAAATTGGAAGAGAACAACTTAGACCTCTGGATATGGGCAATTTTGACACACGACAACAGAAAATAGTAAACTATCAATGAAACATCTCTGCAGGCATTATGCTTACATGCACAAATGCACAAACTAATAAAAATTTGAACTCATTTCAAATTTTGCATTCCTTTTTCTGCTGTTATTCCAAAAACTCTGGAACTCTAGATTTCAAATGATGTTCTATGGTTGTGCAAAAAAGTTTTCAATCTGAAGACGACAAATTACTAGTTTCAAAAACATTTAATTAGCATTAAAAGAAGGACTTCTTAATAGTTCCAAACGAGCAGGTGTCACGCTGCCTGTCACAAAATTTGTGATTTGCAAAAATTATATTCATCTGGCAATTGGAGTGGAGAATAGCCAGAGAGAATACCAGAAAAAATTAAGTCACTTGGTGAAAAAGAGTATCAAAGAACATGAATCAGTCTTGGACCAATACAATTTTACTGTTAATAAACGAAAACAGCTTTAAAAACTCAGTTATAAAAATTCTGCATTTTTTTATATTGTCAATCATCCTTTCATTTCAGGTTGATACAATAAGTCATGGTAAGCAACAAAAGTAACCTGGCAAATAACTTTCTATTTTGGTGAATAAAAAATGTGTTTGGCAAATGAATTGGCGATTGCTATAAAAAGTCTGAGTAACTGTGATGAGTTAAATGAAATATCAGCAACCATAAAGAATAGTGAAAATTTATACAGAATGAAATGCAGATTTAATTCTATTCTTTATTTTATTCAATTTTTAAATTCTATTCAGCTTCTATCAAATCAATATGTGAAATAATCCCAAACTGTAAAAAGCATTAGAATATGGTGCCAGAGTGTTGTTGTTGTTTGTTTGTTTGTTTAAGTTATGGCAATGCAACACTTGGTCGATCTGCCTAGGTGTGATGTCTTCTGGGAGATCTTTTTAAGGGAAACTGGCCCCTAATTAGGCATTACAGACGTGAAGTAAACCTGGAAAACTCCACATGGCCAGCCTGTCTGAGTGAGGCGCAAACCCACGACCAAATTTCCAATGTTCAGGATACGAAGACTGCTTAGCCACTGATGGGCATGCCAGAGTGTAATCACAGTTTTAGTGTTGTTGACAAGTAGTTCCATTAATTAGTATACTTGTACTATACTTTTACATATATGAACATTTTTCACCTGTAATTTGGATAATTAGGACAATGCAAAAATAATGTATCATTTATAAAAAGAGTTTAAGTATAAAGTGGCCAGCCATCCCACCTGTATTCAAGGGATATCCTCCAGAGTTAAAAATTGGTCATGTTGACCAGAAACTAGATCTTAGTTTGCAAGAGTTTAAATCATTTAATAACTTTAGCATGATAATTTTTAATAAATAGTAAGTAGCTTTCTAAATATATCAAAATATTTTTAAAAGTATCTGGTTATAAGAATATTATAGTTTTATAAAGTTTTCAATGTCTTGATCTAAAAGAAGAAAGCTCTATAGAAAAATTATTTAATTATGATTTTATAAACTGAAATAAATTGTGAAAATGTGAAATAATTAAAATGCTAAACTATAAAATATTTAATATAATACAGCATTAAAATTTATCTTGAATTTTTCAACACTGAATAATTCAATAAGAAATGTTATATAAATTGACTTTCTGATCAATCCAAGGTACAATAGATACCACTTACTGTAATCATTTTGGGACTTGTCTAACAAGTAAGCCGATAACAATAACTGATTGATAACTTAAAGCAAAATAATTAAATAATATATAATTAGAGAAAATTCTGGTTTCAGTGGTTAACATTAAAAGGACATATTAAAACAATTATATAATGTATAACTTGAAGATTTATTAATTATAATTATTTCTAATTAATATGTAATTCATCCAGTATTGTTTGTCTGTTACCAGCATTTACAACAGTTGGCATAATTCCATCAATTTAAACTGTTGTATTATGAACAAATAGCAATTAAAACAATTAACTTAAAGCACTGGTTAAGATTAATAACAATAACCTGGTAATGTTTTATGCTATCAGCCACCAGATGATGTTGATAATATGAAAAGAAAGCATAAAAATATTTAATTACATGGCATTAATGAAAAGAATAACTGAATTTTGATTATAATAAGCAAAGTTATAATTTATTATAACCTATATAATTTTAATAGCATTATCCATGATTACAATAAGCAGGGTTTACTGTACACATGATTTCATATTACAGACTGTTATGTACTGGTAGTAATAATTTTATGAAAATAATTAATACTTAATTTGCCTATCTTATTCATTTCTTTTTGTCTAATTTAAATGGCACACTCTTTTGTAAAAAAGAAATCTGAGCAGTTTAATTTTACAAACTCAATATTATTTTATAAAATAAAGTGCTGTTGAGCCCTTTAAAATTAAGTATGCAAATTGATAAATTGTAGTTATTTATCAATTTTATGGACTATGGTGTCAAGTTTTGTGTACTTTTTGATGTAAACTGTAGTTATAAATAACTAGTTTACATCAAAAAGTCCACAAAACTTGGCACCATAGTGATATAATCTCAATATATTCATTAAGATTTTTTTAAAATTGAATAGTATATAAACAAACACAGACTTTCATAAGGATTTTTGAAGTTTAACAGTATATAAAGAATAGTAATACATAAAACATGACTTATTTGGATTTTGTTTCTTTTACTAATATGCATTTATACTTCCTTACATTATTGTGAGAATTATTTTGTAGTTTTTACAAACAACATAAGATATATACTAAGACATTGTGCAACTTTGTCATATCAAGATAGAACTGAGGTAAAGCCAGAAAGAAAGAAGTGATCCTTGCACTTTCTTTCTGGCTTCTTGTTAGGCAGAGAAGAGGTGATCCTTGTATCTGACAGATGTGGACTGGTGAACTTTGCACTTGCTGCCACAAAAGAGGCTATCCTTGTATGTATAAGCTTTTGGATAAGCTTTTCATTAGTTTGTTACAAATTTAAAAATTATAAAATCACTTTGTATTAATGTAATGCATGTTATATTTCATAATATAATTTTTCATACTCAATTTTTCTATGAACTTTGCTAATGCTTTTCCTCAATTATCATAAATTACTACAGATTTAACATATAAAAAATAAAATTGTATAATTTTATATAAAATTATCATAAAAGTAAAGTTTAAAAAATATTGCATAAAATATTATCTCTGAATCATTAAATGATATAACATTTAATAATGTGATAAGGTTAAGGAACTAACAATGAGAGAATAATCAAAAACTATAAAATTCTTATTGAATTTAAGTATGTTTTTAACAACAAAAAAGCATTACTTATGTTTCAGAATTAATTAGTTTCAATTCAATAGATATAAATTTATTTTTCTCACTACATGTAACCAATTAAGCACCAAACCATTAATCTTGACAAAGGGATTTAATTAAAAATTATTCAAATATTGGATTTTAAAATCAATATTTCTATGTTGTCTGCAGGCCTAGAGCAAAACATTTGACTTGAGAGTTTTTATCTAGAAATTAATAAAGCCAAATGAGGATGGAGTAAAATAACATGTTCAATCAGTTGAGCAAACATATGTTCATTTATTTATTTATTTTTACAAATAAACAGGTGAGTCCCAAAGGACAATTGATATCTACCCCTCCATTTAACAAATACAGTATATGAATCAATATTCCAAATGTTTTACCTGAAATGCTAAATGCTAAAATGCTAAAATCTTCTTAACTCAGTTTATATACAATAGTTGAAAAATATTTAAAAAAATTGTTGTTAAGAACTAGTAATCCTCAATAAC